ATTCATATAATCTTAATATTTTTTGTACAAACAAAACCAGTCCTGAGTATTTACAATATCGCTTTGTTCCACGATATATTATCCAGGAACAAATAAAATATCAATTTCCTCAAAAAACTTGAGTCGCAGTAAACAGGTAAACACTCGCCGTGTTATACGTTTGTCAATCTTAATGAAAATAAATGTGTAGGTACAATAACAAGGACCAATAAACTGTTTGCTATAGTCTGTATCTTAGCTTTCAACAAGTATTTGTACGTTTGTATTTAATGACAAAAACAGTCTTTGTCCTACAGAGGTCATGCAATAAATATTGGTAGCACGGCTCGACTTCGATTCTAATTACAGAGTGGGATAGGTTCATACTTCGTTCGCCGAGGTTTGTATAGCTGTCATTGCGTACAAGGATAATGTTCACATTATAACACATTTGTTTTTATGTTACTGCCTAAACATTTTTGTGCACGAGGTTTCTGTTCGAAGTGTTCGGTAAATGGGGTTCCGAAATCATGATGTACTTTTATAACAAAATCGAAGTGTTACTGACTCATAGTTAAGTAAGGTATAAGTTGGCTGAAATATAATTTGGAAATATTGTTGATTTATTTCTGGCTTCGTCTACTAAGAACATAGTTTGGTCTAAAACAATCTTAAGACTCCATAAGAATCTTCTTAAAGTTAGTTCTTATTTACCTGGTATTGTCATTGACTGGACTACACTATACTACTGGTGTAGTCTAAGTCGAAAGCAGGTAACATGAATATGTCATTAGCGATCTATATAAGATCATCATTAAGAATCGGTCGTCAGTGTGGTCCAAAAACACACTTTTATGAATTATGTAGACGTCTCTCCCCTCACACTATTATGTAAATGCAACAGAACTGCGTGAAATTCGAACAACGAGATGACATTAATTTTATATTATGGTAAAAAGGCAAGAAGGAAAAAATAACCAAAAATTTAAAGAAGAAACATATTCAGAATGAAATAATTAATATCTAATAATTAAGTCAAAGTTTTCAGAGAATGTATCCCGGTATTCTGTATACTACGTCGACATCAGGAAAATGAATACCTACATAGAGCTGATACAACCTTTAGTGTGGGATCGCCATGCTTCGGCACGAATGGGCCGCCTCGACCGGAGTGATACCACGGCCTCACAGAAAACCGACGTGAAGCAACGTTTGCATTGTATTTCGTCGTGTGAGTGAGGTTACCGGAGGCCCAATTGTCCCCGTCTTCTTCCCCAATCACCCCAATCCCTGAATTCCCGACGATCCTCAAAGTCCTAATCCCCAAAAAATCGGTAACGCACTTGTAACGCCTCTGATGTTCGAGGTGTCCATCATGGGCGACGCCACTGGCTTACCATCAGGAGATCCGTCTGCTCGTTTACCGGCTTATGCCATAAAAAACCTATTATAGTCACTAATACTTCTTCTTACAGTTGTGGATAAGGATAAAACTCCCATAACTTCCATTTGTTTCTCATTTTATATTGTTTGGACGTGTACGAGTCGACTGCAGCTGCTTAAATAGCAGTGTAGCAGTCTCGCGGCTTTATTGAAAGTAATGCGTTGTCCACGCAGACACAGTATATAGCTGGCAGGATCTGTAAGTGGTTTATAATGTATAACTTAGTGTTTACATTAAAAGAAACACCTAAAGTGCAAGGTTTAACAATCATTAGCGAATTCAACACGTCCTAAATATTTGTTATCTAAATTCTTATTCAATGTGAGATGGATTATTTATATTAAATAATCCATCTCACATTGAATTTCAAGACTAATTATAGCGACACCTACCTTTTATTTCTTTTATTTTTATTTTTTTTTAAAAACGTTGCCCCACACTAGGTTTTCTCCTGTGTCGTGGTTGCGTTTACAAACATACAAGTTCACATACACATGACACCCAGACCCGAAACAACAATTTGTGGATCACACAATGTGTTGTTTCATGCGGGAATCGAACCCGCGATACGTTGCACGGCAGCCAGTTGCCCAGCCAACGCTCCAATCGTGCAGTCGTACCTAGTCGTACCTAGTTTTGTTTTGTATGAGACCTTTACTACTTTTAGGTATAAATTGAATGACGTGACGTACCAATTGTGCCAGTTAATAAGGAAGGTAAGAAGAGATGAAATATAAAATAATAGGATACTTTAAAAACCAATACAGTTATACGTAAAACGTACCTAAGTAGCGTAGCTGCTGACATCTGCGAGAAAATCGTAACACTGAACAGTTTTCAGGATAGCAGGCTGAAAATAACACACACTAAGCAACGCTCCTGAAACTGAAGATAAAGTCACTAAACATGTAACTTAACTGCCTCACTATGTTAACAACAGATGGCGCTGTTTGTTCATCCCCTGGTTAGTGCATAGTTTAGTCGTTAGAGAGCACCGCTTGTATTTTTGTCGTACAAGTTTTTTTTTTATGGCATAAGCCGGTAAACAAGTAGACGGATCACCCGATGGTAAGCAATCGGCGTCGCTCATGGACACCTGGAACACCAGAGGCGTTACAATTACGTTACCGGCCTTTTGGAGATTAGGAGTTTGAGGATCGTTGGAGATTCAGGAATTGGGGAGATTGGGGAAGGGGAGGGTAATTGGGCCTCCGGTAACCTCACTCACACAACGAAACACAACGCAAGCGTTGCTTCACGTCGGTTTTCTGTGAGGCCGTGGTATCACTCCGGTCGAATCGGCCCATTCATGCCGAAGCATGGCTCTCCCACACTTAATGTTCATTCAACATTAACTAAACTACACTTACTTATATAAGGGTTGAACGGTTAAAGTTAAATGAAACAACAGCGTGTAATATTCTTGATATTTATTTTATTTATACGTAAATAAATTATTAGTTTCACTGATGTAGTCAACTACACTTGTAATAAAGGTGGATAAAATTCGCTTATTAGGTACAAATCTGACGTTTCACATGGCGACATCTGGTGTCAAGATTGTGAAAGTGAAATAGTAGACGATCTAGAAAATTGTCGAGAGTAAACGTGTTGCTACGAGGCGTGATATGAGCACAGTAAGCTATCGTTTTACATGAATGGATACTAATATGACTTTGTTTTAAGTACTGAGTAGATTTATTAAATACAAGTCCTATTTTGTGATAATTAAGTGTAACAGATAACTGCGTTTTTATCACGGATACATTGCAAGTAGGTATCATCACCAAGACTTAATAAGTATAATATATATATAAAATCATTTAAATACCAGCATCATGTTTCGAGACCTCAGAAATCCAACTCTAATTACAACAAAGTAAATAGGACTATTTATAAAGGCTTTAAAGCATTTTAAGTAACGATACATAGTATTGCCAGCTGCCATATTAAACTGTCAAGTGCTATAATGTCCTAACAATAAGGTAGTAATTACGATGGCAAGTCACAGTAAACATCAACAGACTAAGCTACTGATATCTTTACGTTTATACAAACGATCCGTACTAAGGCAGTGTATAACAAACAACATATTGTGTGACGAACAGACACACACACACACACAACAAGACTGCTAACTTATAACAATAAGACTTCAGTTTCTCTGCAAAAGACAATTAATATAAGGGAAACATCAATAGTTTTAATGTGTTCATTAATGGAAACGCTCAGTTGATAAAACCGATATTTTCATTCTCTTCATAACTCTTTGTTTCAGTTTGTGTGTCTGTGTGTCACTCACGCGAAGCCGCAGTGTAGGTACTCGCTAAAAGGCAACTTGTTTACAACATACACCGAGAGATGGCGACACAGTCACTGTTCTCCAATGTTTACTCTATTTAATTTTATTGTATAGTTTCACTATTGTCGACACACTAGACATTTATTTAAACTTAATTTCCTTAGAAAGTTATTGACTGATCTGCAAACTTCATACAATTAATGAATACAGTTGAAAAATAACATTGATGGTTCACGTTCAAAAAGTATTCGAAGATACCCAACTAATTTCAAGTTATACTGGGGCTCATAATATTTATTTTAAGTGTCATGTGTTTGTGTTTTTATAAGAAGTATCGTGAGACATACTAAATTAACTAAAATCGCGGGTTATTCACGTGAATATACTGAGAAAAGCTCTACTAGTTTCGAACCACAGAGGGGTTCTCGCACAGCTCACCAGTGAGCTTTTCCCAGTATTTTCACGTGAGTAACCCGTGATTTTGGTTAAGTTATATGTTTTTGTTCATTTATTTGTTTTTGACAGTTATTATTATACAAAAATGGTGGTAAGATGAAAAAAGAATAATTATGTTACTCCTATGTACTTGCATTCAAATATAGAACTCAAAGTTTACAAACACACAGGTCACAGGTCTGTCGTGTCGACAATGTGGACAACTTGACTGTGAAACATACACATTTAACACATCCACTAGTCCGTGGAGTATCTACAAATAACAAATGTGTGGTATTGTCCGTGCATCATTCCGTGCTCGCTCCGCTGTACATCTCATTCGACTAGAACATACCTACACAATTTAATTAAACATTTTAAGCGCAAACTAGTTTAAACTCAACGACATCCCTGTTTCAAGTGCTACTAATATGTACCATGGATGTTTCTTCAGATTATAGAACAGATTTTTTACTTTTCCGCAGTGCCTTCCATATTGAGATTACGATTCAGGCCCTAAATTTTGTTTGTATTATCGGAGAACGATAAAAGTTGTTGTAAAGGACAAAACGTACTATTTTGTACTTTTTGCATCTACATCAATTATGTGATTATATTGCCTTCGTATAAAAGCTGAAACAAGGACATCGTTGCTAAGGCCAGACTACGCGCGGTTCCCTCCACTATAACTATCATATAAACTATGATTATGACACGAATCTTCTAATAATTACAATCCATATACACATTATATTTTTACAAATATATTTTTTACATTTGCGTACACACCCTAAGTATGATATTTATCACAATATTCTTACAAAGAGAACTTACCAACAGTTACTAGACAACATACAATAATTTAATGACTCCCTAAACTTGACTATTTTAGATAATATTCTTCTTTCATAATCGTTATATAGAAATCTAATATTTTTTCATATTTATTATGTTTTGTATAACAGTGAATAATTAGTTTTAATGCGAAGATAATTATTGTAACGTTTCATCGAAGTGATTCAATTGTGAATAGAATTATGTGCGTTTCATTTTCCTTTCTATGGTTTTAATTTAAGTAATGATAACATTATTTAATTGTTGAGTGATATTAATTAGTATTTTCTTAATGTTGATGGCGATTCAAACAATGGCAATCTTGAAACTATCCTTTCGCAAATCATATTATTATGTTATATTATTACGTTCTATCTTAGTGACTATAACAGCAAACATGATATTCCCAACAAACATACATGAGTATTATTTTTCTAATTTGTTCTTGATATTGATGAATATACAAAAATTTGTAGGTTGTCGATACCATAATTATAGTGTTACTTTTCCATGTAGGTGTAATGAGACAGAATTTGTGATACTGAGTTAAAATCCTTGTTCAAATTCCTAACAACCTAAGAATTTTTGTACATACATTAATTGATTAACTTTAATAATCACACCTGTCGCTTGCATTTATTCCAAAGTTCGTTTGACTAAAATGGAAATGACGTGCAGAGCGGGTGACGTCACTGTCGGAGCTGAAGCTAGACGTCGAGCTGTGCGAGGAAGTGGTGGTGTGTGTGCGCGTTGTGGTTGTGTGCGTGCGCGAGCGCGTCCAGGTCGGCGTGGTCGCGGCGCGGCGCCGGGCGGGCGGCCGCGCGCGCCAGCCGCAGCGGCACCGGCAGCAGCTCCGGCATCACGCTGTGGTGCGTCACCAGCGCGCACAGCGACGAGAACTCCTTCGTGAAGCCCTGCACACACTCCGCGCGTCATGACCCCACTCCATGGATCTTAAGTGACATTATCGTGCGATATGGTTGACCTTTGTCGTACAGTGGAAGTCCTCCGGCCAATTAAATGACGATGAATAATGAAACCTATGCAATACCTTACCTTGATCTTATATCCCTTGGGCGTGCGCAGTATGAGGTAGTGCGCGATGCCGGCGGGCGTGAAGTCCCTTGGGACGCGCACGGACAGCGCGAAGCAGCCAGCCTGCGTCGTACTGCCGCGCACTAGGAACGCACCCACCGGCTGCGAGCTCAGGACTTCTAGTGCTATCTGTAATGATAACACAAGAGACTTAAACTGTCAAACACCGCGAGGACACCGGTGACGCAGATACAAACTGTTATTAATCTGTACGTACTGTTGTGAAACAAGTGAATTTATTTCTGCAAATAGGCTACAAGACAGCACTTTTACACGTCAATTTTATCAAGCGAACTGACTACTCTGAGAAGAAATGCCGAAACAAACTCAAAGGTCCAGCTCTTTTAAAGTCCAGACAAATGTGTATCAAAATATATGTGTGAGAACCGTACAAGTTCTTTCTGTAGTAGCCTTTTGAGGAAAGAACCACAACCGTTTGAGCGGACCCGTTCTGAAGGGTAATTAGAAAAGAAATGGCAAGACAAAGTCTCGCACGGTCCTAGCACTAACAACTGTAAAAATAAAAAGTATATGTCAAGGTAGAAGAAAAAATTAATTTATTTTGAAAGACAATGTCACATTAAAATAATAGTGTCAAATTGCATATAAAACGAACTGTAAGGGTTATAGTGTATAATCACACAAACACATGTATAAGCGTTAGTAGTGAGTGTAACCTGCAAGCCTATATTTAAGTAAGGTATGCGCAGTAGCGGGACGTGTGTCACTCAATGCTCGATCTTTATGGTGAATACACTACGTGAGTTTAATAGTACAAGTGCTTTCATTTATCATCTGACCTTACACATACACGCAAACACAAATCCCGTGGTTATCCTTTATAAGGTAAGGTAAGTCATTTATATATATAAGAAATAAAAAAAGGCCGAGAATTGACCCCTGCGGAACCCCCATCCTGACAACAGACCCGGCGGAGATTTTTCCGTTTATCTCGACTCTTTGAATTCTGTAACTCATGTATGAGGTAAGAAGATCCAGAGATTTACCTCTTATTCCATAGTGGGATAGCTTCCTGATCAATGTATCATGAAGGACACAATCGAACGCCTTGGATAAGTCACAAAAAAATCCCAAAGCGTCGCTTGAGTCCTCGCTCGCTGTTATTAGCGAAAGTAGTTTCGCGAATGAAAAATGGAAACCAACTCCCAGTCGTGTGAACGACTAAACTTGGTTAAAACTGAGTGCCCATCGCAATTTAATATAATTATAAAAAAGCTTTAGAGAGAGAGCAGAAGATTGAATAATAATGACCTCTCGTGGTATCCCGTGTTGGAACCATGGTGCCTGGCGCAGCTCCGGCTCGGCGCGCGGCACGTTGTTGTTGGCGGGCGCGGCGCCGCACGAGGACGCGCCCGACGACGACGACGTCGTGCGGCTACACGCTGCAGACTCACTGCAACACAACAAGAGCTTTTTTAATAAATTGCAAAAATTAAGACCTATACAAAATATAAGACAGTCATAATTTAACGATGGTAAAAAAGTACAAATGAAATTTTAAAGCACCTATAAAAGTACAAATGGTAGATGGTAAAAGTATCTAAATATAGACGCGGTAGACAGTAACTGAAAGTAATCCCCCGTACTAAAGGAAGTCCAAAGTGTCGTTAAACTTAATTTCAACAAATACGTGTTTACAATGTTCATCGAACAAAAGTTCAGACGTCATTACTCTGCTGCTTAAGCTTAAAAGGTTTAAAATAAAATATTGCTGAGAGCATTCATAAGAATGAAAACTCGTGACCCAGTTTCCATTAAGCCGCTATCATCGTGGTAATTTAATATAGAACTTTTTTAAATCAAAAAAGTAAATAGAATGGTCCCAGCGCGCCGGAGCTCGTCGTGGGTATACTTTAAAGCCGAGAAATAGATTTTCAAGTCTTTTGTGCAAGTGGAAAGTTCTGGACCGAGGTGTCAATTGAAAATTTATGTCGGACTATTAATTTAAATACCGTTTTATATTTAAGTCGTAGCGTAAAACTTGAATTTCATTCAAACTTTATTCAAACGGAACACAAGATCAGCTCGTAAAGTGACGTTTACACTTGTTAAATACGTTACGTATAGGAGCAGGGAGATGCTATAGAGAACGTAACGGGAACCAGCGTTTATTAAAGAAAGAATGAAAACCTAATTGATGCAGAAGTGGACCAAAATAAAACAGACTATGTATTTGAAAAATAGATAAAAGCAATGTTAGTTTTTAATAAGAAAGACGAGGAAAAGGTAATTGAAAAAAGAATTAATAAATGCCACAGGAAAGATTAGTAAATACCTGTTCTTGATATTATTACACCTCCTGAAGTCGACATCTAGATCATGCGTCAACAGCTCAGTGCGGCGCGGTGCGGCCGGCACTGCGGGGGGCTCGCGGTTACTCTCCCGCGTGCGAGCCTCCGCTTCTGACGCCTCGTTGATGTAACCTCCGTTCATACATAGTGGCAGATTTGTGGGCCTGAAAGTGTTTCATGAAGAATATATAAGTTGTATAGAATCATACAGCAATAAAAATGAAATTCATTGGGAACAGCCAGGAGAGAAATTTATGTATTGACAACAATTACTTAGAACCAGGAGCAAAACATACGTGGTAGGTGTGTCTGCGACGAGAGGCGTGGAGTCATCGTCGGACGGTTGCAGCAGTGCTCCACTGAGCCCCATGGCCAGTCTCTTCATGAGCGGGGGGCGCTCCCCCAGCCGCCGGTAGCAGTTCAGCTCCGTCGGGGAGTTCGACTCCTCCGAGCTGCTCGGACTCGGCTCGTTCACTAGTTTTGACACACCCATTATGTTGCATTTCGCTGGGGACCTGGAAACGCAATATACAGTTCATTGACTTGATTACATAAAATATGTCTTAGGTTGATACATAAGAACTTTCAGTGTTTAGTCAGTTCTTATCACTTGCAGTATACATAGGCTCTACATAACTACAATAGTTCCGCATACCAGCAAAAAAACAGATACACAAAGAGATCTAATTTTAATATTGCAGCAACCATGTACTTGCATTTCATAATATGAAATGCAAGTAATTATTTTTTTCAAAAAAAAATGTGTTAAAACATATTATGTTTTAACACATTTTTTTTGGAAAAAACTGTACTGTATGCCAACAGCTCGTAAAATATTTTACTGCAATACCAATTTAGAATTCGGGTCGAATGTGCCTGGACTCCAAAATCAGTCATGACGATTCCTATTTCAAAAGATTTTTGGAATAATAAACAAAAAATATAGTATATCGTCCAAACATCATTATACTTCTATATAGTTCTTGTAAAGTACTAACAGTCCGGCAGCTTTTTATTATGAGCACTGTACTAAAACAGCATGCGGCTTTTCCATACAATCATGGGATAACCGAAAAACGGCGAAGAGATATTGTTTGCCCAACCAAAAGTACAAAGCACGCTTTTATTACCAAATTTTTTGTATTTCTTGGACCACTCCTATACAATAGACTAAATGCAACGTTATGGATTTATCCCCATAGCATCCGTAACTGTAGGAAAATTCTAAAGGAAGCCCTTCAAGACATGTCCTATGAAGACACAGAGAAGTTATTAATAGTTCCTAAATAATACTTAAAGTAAGCTCCTAATCTCTTATTTATATACTACATACATACTCTTAAATACATATTAAGCATAGAATTTAAGTATTACTTTACATCAGTATGCGTACATATAATTAAATATTGTCATAATTTACCCTAACTTATTAGCATTTAAGTACTAGTGATTATATAACATTGTTTACTACTATTACCTAACCTCGCCTGAAACACAGGATTTCCTAGTTCAGGCACCTTATATTGTGAACTTTATTTAACTTTAAGCAAAACTGTACATTTCTAGATCATTATGTTTGAAAATAAATTTTATTTATTATTATTTATTATTTATTACTTCAAAGTATATTAATCATATTGCTACTACACGTGTTTATTTTTATGTGTTATTGTGTCGAATTATACCTTCATGTATTTCAGACACGTCTTACTTATTTTTTAGAAATATCGATAATAATTATAGTTTGTTATGTACCTGTCGCTGCAATAGTGGTGTGTGAGACCGGGCAGGGTGTCTGGCGCGCGTACTCCCATGCCGCAGTCGCTCCCGCTTAGCTCCTTACTCTGGAACCAACAAAATACAATGTGTTAAGATAAGACACCTTCTGAACGTCAGGGACATGAAAGAAAGACATAAACACGACAAGATGAAGGCATTTATTATGGCGGTCCTAGGCCACCAAAAAGAATACACTCCCAAACAAGTTCTCATTATTATTCCATTCCCCGTATTCTAAAGTGGGGCCACTTAGAACAATTACTGACCAATTAGTACCTATGTTTAGAACTGTAACTTATTCAGCTGTATGATAACTCACTGTAGTACATTGTCAGACCCATTTGTCACACAGGTGGCGCAGACAACACCGATAAACTAATTCTATGTGGCACAACTTACAATATAGTTTTAACATTCTAGTCCAGTTTTCCAATATTGCTTATTGCAATTTATCTATTATAAGGTAGCGTGCAATTATTGAATTAGGAATTCCAACTTTATAGCAATGTAGTAAATTGTGTATTATTATTAAAGCTTTAGATAATATCTCATAATGCTGGCAGCCTCGAAAGGCCGTGCCTTGAAGGACGACTAGTGGCCCAGTGATAACAACTTAATACAATACTCAGTGGGGATGTCAATGTTGCAACTTGATTAGAAACCACTCTGTTGAGCCACATTCCACGTGAACTATGTTTGGTAGTTTATTAAATAATATTTAAGAAGCAACAAATAGTTTAGCTTTATTATTATATTTTATCATAATCCATGATTGTCATTCATTAATGGTTACTTAGCTCAGTCCTTAGCAAAAATCGTTACTGAAATATAGTTTCAATGTTTCTGAGTACTGCAGTTATTTGTTTCGATTCTAGGAGAATAGTAGTGACATTAAGTCATTCATTTCTAAACTGAATTATTAGGAATTTTTAGAAATATTTTAAAATCATTTGTATTGCCTTCAACCAAAACGTAAGGAATTTTAAATCAATTCTTGATAGTTTCACTAATACTAATACAGTTAGAAAGTTATCCACAAAAGTAACCACTGCCATAGCTCATGACTCAACGACTGTTGGAAGTAATGGCTCATAGTGGTCGGTTATCAGCCTCCCATTACATCACAGTGCTCCATTACCGGCATGTAATTACTCTGAATGCGTTTCCGAGCTTTTATTCAATAAGTAGTGCTATAATAAGTACCAACGCAACGCTCCGATAACTAAAGACCAAGGAAGGACTTACCACTGTTGTAATTACCCACTAACTGGCACATAAATCAATATTAAAACAATAGAACCACTTTGTAATAGTCCTATCTATGTATAAAACTTTGTATGGTTTTTAAGAATGATTTCAAATCTTTCTCTATTTACCTTTCTTATGAAGATGAAAGCGAACATGAAGTGATTTTGATTTTGACTGCACTTAACTTTTGAATCACCACACTTAACACTTTTTTGTATAACAAATACGTATTATATTAATAATTTGTGTGTTATGAACGTAATTAATAAATGAGTTTAATTCAAAGTCTTTGAATTATTTTTGATGTTAGTCCTATGCAGTTGCCAAAAACCAATTGATTGAACCGATTGATCTAGAGATTTTGAACGGTAATTAATATCGTTCATAGAACTGCATACAGGACAATATAACGCGTACGCGTGCACCGATGTTTAATGGTAGCGCACATGTGCAGTAGGAGCTCGATAGTAAACAGTCAAACAGAGGATATTCCTCAAATATGTGAGATATGCGTGGAATGTTAATAGCGTGATGTTTGTTCGTGACGCCACGCATCCTGCCCGCCACCGGCCGCCACAAATAGGCGCAATATTTCCAATATAATGTCCGTTAATGCTCACATGTTAAACTAAACGTCTCGAGACTAAGTTATGTTCGTTAAATAAGAAGTGCTTTGGCTTTGATGGCATTTCAACAACAGTCATAAAATTTGTTTCTGGTTGTATAGCCGCGCCCCTTGCTCATATTATAAATGTAAGCATATTTTCCGGAGTGTTTCCAGAAAATCTTAAAACCGTAATAGTCATTCCAGTATATAAAAAGAATGATAAAGGTGAAATGGTAAACTATAGACCTATAGCCCGTATTTCCATATTTTCAAAGATAATAGAAAAAGTCATGTACGAATCTCTCTACAATTTCCTAACAAAGCATCATATACTCTGTAGCGAGCAAAAGGGTTTTCGGAAAAATAAAAACATCAACATGGCCATTTTTGATTTTCTGTATGAAGTAATGCCGAAAGTTGACTCTAAAATACCAGTATGTGCAATATATGCTGATATGTCGAAGGCTTTTGACTGTGTGGACCACGATATACTTCTAGCCAAGCTTGATGCATATGGTATCCGTGGCAATGCCCTTAATCTAATAAAAACATACCTTAAAGGTCGGAGACAATGTACGGAGATATCTAGCCTGTGCCTAAAATCCAAAAGGGAAATCAAATCTTTATCCTCTTTCAAACAAATAAAATATGGTGTTCCACAAGGAAGCGTCCTCGGACCCTTACTATTCCTACTATATATTAATGACCTGCCACGTAATATATCTAACCCTATGGTCTTATTTGCAGACGATAGCACCTCAATTGTTTCATGTACCAATAAAGACTTATATGTTGCAGATATCAATAATTCAATCAATAGTTTAATAAAGTGGCTTGACAACAATAACTTAGTAATTAATTTAGACAAAACTAAAATCATGCATTTTCACCAACGGACACCAACAGTAGACATGGATATCAATTATAATGGCCAAATAATAGAAAAAGTGAAAAGTGCAAAATTCCTAGGAATTTTAATTGATAGCCAATTAACTTGGAAACCGCAAGCAGAAGATATATGTAAACGATTAAGTACAGCCGCGTTTATGTTACACAACCTATCAAAAAAAGTCGATATGCCAACAGTGTTATTAGCCTATCATAGTCTTGTAGTATCCATTCTAAGATTTGGGGTAGTATTTTGGGGAAATTGTAGTGAACGGGAAAGCATTTTTAAAGCCCAGAAACGATGTTTGAGAGCAATGTTTAGCCTTAAAGTAACTGACAGCTGCGTACCTATATTTAAGTCTCAGAAATTATTAACTTTTCCATGCCTTTATATCCTAGAACTAGCAATGTATGTAATAACAAACCGATGTTTATTTACACCAGTATCTGCAACCAGAAAGCGTAGTACAGCTTTAAGATCACAATATCAGAACCTATTATCCACAGGTGTATTTAAAACTAGCCTACTAAAAAAAAGTGTAATCTGTATGGCCCCTATTATTTACAACAAAATTCCTGACCAAATTAAAAACTTACCTGTTCTGAAATTTAAAAAATGTTTTACAGAATTACTTTTGGATAAATGTTATTACTCTGTGCAGGATTTCCTAAATGATACACCATAATTTTCTTTTTCTTTTTCTTTTTTCAATCTAATTGTAAGAATTATATTTGCATGCCAACAAGGCCGAATGTATAAGGTTACGTGACAACATATTGTACCATCTTATCCTATGTACCTACATTCTAGCAAATAAAGATATATTATTATATTATTATTATTATTCGTTAGTTCATATTTATTTATTTGTTTGATTGCGATCAAATTTGTACTATTTAGGTCATCGTACTTCTTTATTAGGTACACAAGTATTAGGTAGTTCATTAACTCACGTATTTGATAATGAGATACGAAAACAATTTCCTCAATACAAATATTTGAGGTATTAATGCCAAATTGCTGGTGTAAACTACAATTTTGTGTGCAAACATTCGAGTGAAAAGTGACATTAAATCACAATTAACCGCTGACTGTACTGCGACACTGCGAGCTCAACAAGTTGACATTATTGTACCAATTTAATCAATTTATAATGGTTTTACCACTATTGTATCCTCCATTGTCTTACTGGAAACCATCTTCTTTTTTTACCCGACTACGACAAAGCAAAAGGAGGGTTATGATTTTGTCAGGCTATTTATGTATGTATGTTCATCTGTTCCCTTATAACTTCATAAATTCTTATCAGAATTCGACAAATGACATGTCATTAGAAGCGTCTTAATTGTTCGCTGGTCATAGACTATATGGGGTTTTACAAAATATAATTTAGGGTCCTCTAGCCAAAAAAATAAAGTTAAGATAAATATGCGTGTTTGGTACCATTTGAAAGCGCTTTACTTGTTTAAAACAAATTGTCCCATGGACTCAAGGCACTCAGGCTGAATATAGTAGAAATAAGTCTTTAATGTATCAGTATACCTTATAAATATATGTAGTATGTCTACTAGATACACATGTCTAGACGGAACGGCACTAAAGTTGGTTAATTCAAACAAGGATTTGTTTCGAAGCGCAGGTTGAACATAATAGTTTAATGTAGAGGGTTTATAGAGCTCGTTGTAACTTGGAGCTTCCTTCAGAGAGCCATTAAATGAGGACAGAGGTCAGCTTCCCAGATTTATGCTAATACAAAGTACGAGCCCTTGTTACTAGCCTTGTACTTATTTCATTTGTATTTAAGAACAAGAGACTGCCTCTTTGGCCGAGTGGTCGTAAGTGCGACTGCCGGGCCTGCCGGGTCTCCGGTTCGATTCCCGGGTCGGGCAAAGTATTACTGGGTTTTTAAATATTCTCAGTAGTAGCACGGAGTCTGGAATTGTGCCCGGTATATGGCAATAGGCTCACCCCCTATTACATGGGACTCATAACATAAATAGTGAAAAGTGGGTGTTATGCATTGCACAGTGGTATAATGTGCACCTCTGCCTACCCTTTCGGGGATAAAAGGCGTGATGTTATGTTATGTTATGTTATGTTTGTTATGTTAAGAACAAGATTGAGGCCAAAAGTTTTACCAAATTATTAAGCCCCTTCAATATCTTATTCATTAACGAGTTATTGTTAGAAAAAAAATATGAACATTATTTAGAATCTAACTAAGAGATGTGAACAATTTAAATAAACAATACTCCAGGGAATGTTTACTAGAACAGAGGAACATACAGGAGAAGTCACACTGACCCAGTTTGAACAACAGA